GCCAACCAATCAAAACGTCTGATTTTACTGAAAAGTTGTATAAAATGTAATATGTAATACTACAAATTGGGCCCACTGGCTTGAAGAGATGATGTTGATAATACAATAAAATAATGCTGCTATTCAGATAAAGTAATGTTGTTCTGCATTTTTTTGCTGTAGGCAACTACTAATAGTTTTGGTGGAATTGGTTCCTTTGCTCCGGCTTCACCAAGAATTACTAGCCCTGCCAGGGATACGGGTATTTCTCTCTTTCATTCATCCCTTTCATTTCTTTATTCTTATTTCCATTCACTTATCACTGTCCTTCTTCCCTGATATTTTAGGTGGAGGAGGACGAGGTCAGTCACCCAGAGGGGGTGGTGGTGGTGGTGGGGGTGGTGGTGGTGGTGGTAGAGGGCGTGGTAGGGGTCGCGGAGGAAGAGATATGACAATTATTACCCAGACAGTTCGAATATGTCAAGGACCATATAAAGGTAAAATCTTGTAATCCACAAAAATTCTCTATTTAAGACTTTGAATTGATTTCACCCTTTATTTACCAGGCTATATTGGCATTGTTAAAGATGCCACGGAAACAACAGCCAGAGTTGAACTCCACAGCAACTGCAAAACAATATCCGTAGACAGAGGGCGTCTCAACATCATCAGGTCATTACAACATTACATCAGTAACATGATAGACATAGCAAGACTAACTTATGTTGTTCCTTTATCAGCGGGCCAACCAGAGCTGGGTCTTCTTCATATGCACGTACACCRATGTATGGRTCACAGACACCAATGTACGGGTCCCAGACACCTATGCATGGCTCTAGGACACCCATGTATGGGTCCCAGACACCCACTCATGGCGATGGTTAGTTTACATTCTTCTTGWCRTACTCTTATTTTTTTATCTTCATAGCAGTCCGTGACTACTCATAGGAATGCAAAGTGTTACTTTCGTTTCCTTACGTTCTTTGCTTGGYTTTGAATATTAAAGACACTTGGTTTCGAAGACAATTTCGTAGTTTAATTATAGTTGAACACACRTAACTGTTATTTTGTTTCRTTCACAGGAAGCCGTACTCCTCACTATGGTTCARTGACACCTTCCCATGATCCTTCACGAACACCACTTCACGGTGGAGCCTGGGATCCAACTCAGCCCAATACTCCTGCTCGCAATGACGACTTTGATTATGGATTTGATGCTTCAACACCGTCACCTGCTGTAAGTGTGGTGTGGGTTTCCTGTGCTGCTCTTTATTTGACAATATGGAGTCTGCAACAAGGCATGATAGGAGATATAGTCTAAGATTGTTCTACATTTTATCTATTTCAGAATTACGCTCCAAATACTCCAAACCCAGCCACCCCCGGTGCGTACACAGGACCRTATACTCCGAATACCCCGGGTGCCGGTATGTACGGCTCAGAACCAACATATTCTCCTTACACACAGTCGCCTTCTCCTGCCGGCTATGGAAATCCGGTAACCCCAGGAGGTAGCATTCCTCCCGTATCACCGGCATATAACCCACATACGCCCGGTTCTGGAATGGAAGAACACGGCCCTGGWGAATGGGTCACTACGGACATTGAGGTCCGGGTGAATATGAATCACGAGGTACGAGAAATCTGTATTGTGTTCTCTCTTCTTCTTACTTTTCTTTTCTTGTCTCCGTTTTTCTGTCTTCTGTTTGCTCTTTTCTCATTGTTTCTTCCCTTTTTTCTATTCATATTTCCATATTCCATTCTCTTGTCATTTCTTTTCTTATTTTCTTACGCTCTCTCCCTTTCTTTTTATTTCTTCTTTCTTCAACTCTTGTATTCTCCTTTACAAAGTTAGTTCACTTATATTGTTGGTATGAACACACGTCTGTATTTAAAAAAATTATATTGCATATCCAGGTATCTATCAAGTTAACAAACCTTTGTTTTTGTGTTTTTGTGTGTGTCAGGACCCGCAGTTATTGGATAAAGTAGGAGTAATTCGTAATGTCAATGKGGATATATGTACAGTCTACCTCTACGATGAAAAGAGGAATATTAGCATACCTGCATCAAACATTGACTCGGTTGAACCATCCAAACAAGAAAAGGTATGCTTGCAATCAAACGCAGTGGATGATTATGATTATGATGGTAATGGTGATTATTTTTTTCTCCGTCTCTAATGGTTATGTTGATGTACAAAGTTATTGTGATGGTGATGATGGTAATATCGATGATTATAATATCAATAACAATGATTTTCGACGTTACACATCTTTATCTTCCAGGTCAAAGTAATTTTTGGCGACGATAGAGAATCTACAGGAACACTGATCAATATTGATGCAGAGGATGGTATCATCAAGATGGATCGAAACGACCAACTCAAGATTCTTCCACTAAAACACTTGGCAAAGATTTCTAATGTTACTGACTAGTCTACCGTTCTATTTAATACATGCCATGGATACCGTTACGTAGGTGACTTCCTAGATACCGGTTTCTATAGCAACCCGTAGCTATGGTTCCTTGCAAATGCTAAAATCGTTAGATTGCAGTTCTTGCGAAGGAATTTCTAATACAGTTGTTATAGAAACGYTTCTGATGTTAACAGTTTCTATAGAAACGTCCGTGGTATCGATAGTTGCCATAGAAACACGTTTAATATGCATGGACAGCGGTAGCGTAGTTCTGTCTRTAACTATGAAGTCTTACAATGTAACTCAGGCCTGATATCTGTGTTACTGTATTCCTTGTTTGTATTGGTTTCGYTGTTGTCTGCATACCGCCAGACAACTCAGCGTTCGTTCTTGTTGCTGTTTTTAAGTCCTGTCCATGGAACTTCTGTAAAACAACGCTAATTCTTTGTAGTTAATCTTCATTTTAAATTAAACGATGATACACAGTCTTTTACTGATTCACTTGTTGATTGTAAACTCGTTAACATGTTCTAGAAAGTCTTTTAAACTATTTGAATAGCTTTTTGATAGTCTTAAACTCGTTAAACTGGTTTTTGATAGTGCATTAAACAGGTTTCTAATCGAGCAAATGTATGCGTCTTTGCAAGCAGGCGTACGAAAATCTTGCCAAAGCGGATTTCCTTGCGGTTGAAAAAGTTACAAAAATCTGCCTAAATAAGACAGAAGTGTGGGGTTTGTTTATGCAAGCTAGGGATGTWTTCCATTATATTAAATAAAGAATGATTAAAAGCAACAAAATCGTGATTCAATGTTATCGCATGATTGAAGAAGGAAAATTGTTAGTGTTTTCCATTTAGCTTACWAGTGCGTCCTTTCATATGTGTCTTGTTCTTATAAACGCGCAAATGGTCACAGCAAATAGCTATTGCTGGTGGTCGTTAAGTCTTTGACAGTATTCTATTTATCGTGTAGGGAATTTTAATTGGAGAAAACAGTTACTATACTAGGTTTGAAATTGTAATTTTTCCAGATTTATGATAATCAGATTTGAAGGCGTTTGTCCTCACTCTTGTTTTGGTTCGACTGAACAACTCAAAAAACAGACACTATCTAAAAGGAAAATTTTTAATATTCGCTTCGTTTATTTCCCATTTTCAAATATTTAGGGATATCATGCACTTTCTTTTTCATTTCGAGACACATTTGGCAAAACGTCAGAATCAATTCGACCCTTGGACTTTGGATCGTTTGAATTCCTGATTGCATGAAGGTGTGGCATATATTATAGCTATTGCTTGAGAACGGAACTGATGATATTTTGATGCAAATATCGGYCAAACCTTTTGAAACTGGAATGAAATTAACAGAATGAAYTACTTCTTAATTATATCGAAAAGTTTCCAGCGAAAAATAGACATATATTCTCATTTTCTTTGACGAGAAATAATTAGATAAGAGCCGACGAGCTCACAGGATTAGCAATTTCAAAATATTATTCCATTTTGGGATTTGTACCTGCAGAAAGACTGAAAAAAACTTCACGATTTCAGCCACAAAAGTCCTTATTATTAAGTATCTGGTCTCTGATTGGCTGCATCAAAATGAGGCCGTTATCCCGCACAGCGTAACCACGCTTGCGCCAAATTTTGTAAACAAAACTTAGTCGAGTGTTGAGGTATTGTAGCACAACTAGACTGACGGCGACCGTAGCAGATACATCATGGGAAAGAAGCTAAAACTCTTTGGTTTAGCCGTTATTGGAATACTTTTTGCTGTAGTCTATCCTAAAGTGAAGAAAAACTACGACAAATATGTGAAACCCCACATGCCAATAGTTGCAAAAGTGTTCAATACAGCCAAAGAATTTAATATTCTTGGCTATCATATACCATGGCGTTACATCCTGCCAGTTTTCGCTTTGTTTATAGCTTATAAACTCTACAAGGTAAGCTTGGTTTGTCTGTTTTTCATAGTTCTAGCGGGATGATCAGTTATAATGCAATGTTGTTTAGTATTTTTGAAAGTTGAGTTTCACCGTATAACAGGTGCAAGATTTAACTGTTTATTAGCGAACAGTTCAGTATGATTTCAAGATAAGAATCTCWACGATAAAAGCACATTTTCTCTGTTGTAGATGAAAGCTTCAGTATACCAAAATATATCGTATTTTGTTATAAATACATATCATATATTTATCAATCTTCAAATTGAATCAACATGTAACTTCTCGGAAACTTTTCGGGAATTCCTCTCATAGTAATAATTAGTTTTTTTCTTTGGCAAACCGCAAGAGCTATTCGTTGTTTGGTAAAATGCAAAAAAAAAATAAAGAAGTAAAATGAGTGGTTTTGTAATACAATAAAATATCTGCATAGAAAAGATTTTCGGTGCGGATCGGTAAATATCTTAATTCAGACTCATCCGTCTGACGTAATAAATTTCACGTCTTTTCAAAGTCTTTATGGTTACAAATTCTGAATTAAATTTCAGAGAGTTCTTGAAATACTTGGGCTTTCAAAAGTTGTTAGTACTGACTGTCAACTACTTATTTATGCACAAACCTGCTGTTTGATGTGTACTAGTTGTTTATCCTTGCCTTATACTGTGGGTGTGGTACAACAAACTAGTTTTATGAAAATATCAACTGTTTTTCCAGCTCACATTTGACTTCCCACTTTGCGTTTTCTTTTATCCAAATTTCTGTTCACTTCTCATGCTGTTAGCTTTGAACACCATCTATTTTATCAAAGCACTTTGTGATATTAAATAGCTTAAACTGCATCAAGTGCAATTTTTCAAAGATAGATTTTTATTTTTGTAAAAACAGGGAAAAAAGGATGGAAAGTTTCAGTAACGTTTTAAATGTAATGCTTGATGCTAATTAGAATACCTGTGAAACAGGTACCTGCCAATTGCCCAGCCCAAAACACTGTTGTTACTGTCTGCAACTAGAAAAAAGCCAGACTTTTGACATCTAATTTAACAATCATCAGCCAAACTTGGATAAAGCCATATCAATAAAAGTGAATTCATATTTTTTCATAAGCTGTATTGGTTTTATTGATTATATTTAGACTTATATATCTTAATTGGTAAATGTACTGTAGTTTAATAGTTCAGATTAAGTCAGTGTACTTCGAAGTATTAAATTGTAGCTAAATGCTCTTGACACTTACAGAGACGAAAGAGGAGAAAGCAAGAAGAGGAAGAGAGACTTCGCAGAACACAGCGCTACATGACAGAAGAGGAAGGTGGGATTACCTAGGCCTCTCCCTGTTAGGTGTCCATATTATGACCTCATATGTTTTGCACAAGCCAACTTTCAATAACCTTTTCTCCACAACTAAAATTCTCACAACTTCCTTAAATGAATTAAAAAGAGTACTTTTTATGATCAAAAACACCTTTCACCCTTTTTTAATTCCTGTGTAAACTCAGTCCTTTGTACTTTCTCATATCTTCATTTGTCTTTTTGAGTTAATTTACTTATTTTTAAACAATCTCTTTTGACGCACTAAGATTGTCTCAAATTTGCAGGTTTCTCCCTTCCTTCCATCTGTTTTCCCTTTCTCTCATTTATTTCTATTAATCACACTTCCATCCTGTATTCACAAGATAACTGCAAAGCATTGGCTTATTGCTTTTCATATAGCTGGCTGGTGATCTTTTGAAATGCCATCAAGATCTTATCAAATTATTAGGAAATTTTATAATTGTTAATTATTTCACGTAACTAATAATTATCAATTAATTGTTGAATTAAGTTATGATTTTCAGAACTTGTGCAGTGTGCAGGTGCTTCATTGCTTCTTTGACTGACAAGACATGACAGAACCATATAAAACAACATGGGTTTAGTCCCTCTCAATATGATAACAACAGGGATACCAACACTGGAATCAGAGACCTAATTTTCCCATTAGATATTTCACAGGGCTGGCGTGTCATTATTCCATTATTCTTGCATTTCATCAGTTTCCCAATTCACTTTCCATTTTATTGGCATTCTATTTCAATTTTCTCATTTGATTCCCTTCCATCTACTTTAAAAAAATGAAACTACATTGATATGGGATGAACGGCAACTGCAAAAAAGTTGACTGGAACAAACACAATGCATTTAACTTATTCACAGCATCCTCATCTCATTTTACATGCAAACGTACGTTCTTCTCTTTCCAAAGCTCTGCGCTCTCAGTTTTGAAAAGCTTTTGATTTCGGCTATGAATACTATTATATTGAGTATCCGTGCTTTGCAGTTTTTCACTTAATTTTCTTTTCAAAACTGTGCATTGTGACTTTCTTAACTTTAAGCAAGAGCTCACAGATATATGTGCTCTCTTGGTTATAAAAGACATGCTCAAAGTAGTCCATTTCATTCATTAAATTCCCAAATCGTACTCCCACTTAAAGAAAAAAAAAATCATTCATTCTTCATTCTTTTCAAACACTTTGTCACTTTCAGTGCCCTCAAAAACCACCACAACAAGCATTGTTGAAAAGAAGGAGGCCCCAGCGCCTGTGACTGCTGTCCCACCAGCCCCTGTAGCCCCCAAAGCTGAACAACAACAATCTATAGACACTAATGACCAGGCCCAAGTGGGTAACCGTGTACGGACATTTAACTTTTGGCCAGCAACAAGTTCTGCTAACGTGTTTGACTTAGCGCGCGCAGGGTTTGTGTTTACGGGTCGGGATGATGTAGTAGAGTGCTTCAAGTGTAAAGGGACGCTAAAACAGTGGAAGGTTGATGATAAAGCGATACTGGCGCATAAAGAGTTTTATCCAGACTGTGAGTTTGCCAAGGGGGTTGAGACTGACAGTGACGTGTTGACAAGACTGTTTAACTTGCATGACGTTAACGAAGGGGTTGCAAAGAGGCTGAAGCAGCTGCAGACTGTCCAGAGTAAAAGTAAAAATGTTGATCCAGGTCAGTGCACTTCTCTACCATCATATAAAAAATGCAAACAAATCTACTTGCATTTTTTTTAAATATGTTTTTAAGTTACCTCTTGCAGCCATTATTTGAGGGAGCTAATTTGAGGAGAATTGGCAATATAGTGGCCAGGATGGTTGCAATACCTATAAGCCACCCTTAGATCCACTCTGATATAACCAAATAGACTAAATATCTAACTTTATTCATATCTTAGCAAATAAACATCTTGGCGAACTACAGAAGAGACTGGATACCACTGAGCGTACAATGCATCTTGTCATGAAACAGATGGAAGCTGTTACAAAATGCCTGGCTAAAACACTAGCAGATGATCCTGCCCTTAGTGGTGACCAGTCATTGGCTGAAATCACTGAAGGCTTAGTCAATCTAAAGGAAAGCAATGTCTGATGTCAAGGGACTATAGTGAATGGTTAAGAGATGAGAATAAATTGTCACCAACACYGGCCAGAACATTTCAAGACCATTTCGAAATAGTTTGTCAAAATTAGTAAAACAACTAGACATGAATCAATGCACTTTTTGTATTTTTCTTAGAACAAATGTAAATTAATCCCTAAGATTGCTTCCAACTTATGCTAGATTGCCTGGCATAAAATGGTACTTTCTTAGGTATGGCCAAATGGTCTTGAAGAGCAACGAATGCTTTTGGAATTCTCAAAGCAAAACTTTAATATTGTTTGTCATTATTTCTATTGCTGTTTGAAATACTACCTGAGATTGCTATAGCATATATTAAATTTGTATTTATAATTGATAGTCTGCAAGACAAAAATCCTGAAATTATGACCAAAATGCTTTGTGAACCTATAGGTTTTTTACAATCCTATTGCACAATACTTTTGTAATTATATTTGCACATAGAGATTTGAAATTATATGTTAAATAATTATTATGCTGTGTATTTAAATAAATTTTCAAATGAATAAATGATTTATCTGTAAAACATGATTTCATTGAATTTGAGATTTTAGAACCCCAGTGTGAATGTGTTTTATCATTCTCCATCCCCTTGCTTTCATGCTCAGAATAATTCCTGGGATAAATAATTATGGAAGAGTAGCTTAGAAAATGTATCAGTTACAACTAGCCATTGATGTGTTTCAAATCAGGCAGTTCTTCCCACATCATTYTTGTCTGRTGACCKCCTCTTGTCAGGCCACCATAATCCAGCAAATCAACATTCCAGACAGCAATACCTTTCATCTTGCCGTACTTCAATGCATACTCATACTTGAGACCTAAGCTATAAGGRTCATCATACCATACTTTACGCTTGGTACCATATTCGTCGTTATACCAGAAAAATGGACTTAAAGATCCATCATCAAAHTGACGACCACTGTCACTTCTACTGGCAAGTAGATCCTGGAYTAGRGAATAACTGASCTGACGGCATTGGCCATTGCTACAGTTGGTATGGCAGGAATGGAATTCAGGATCGACCTTTGCACAGGTGTAGTCATAGCCATACCAGGGAACACCATATGCTAGCTTTTCTCCACTGATGTTGAGCTTTTTGTATAGCTGGATACCTAAAAGAGATGGAATATTAACAATAATTATATTAAATTGCTATTATTAATATTCCATAAATAAATGAAACTGTCAAAAAGAACAAAAATGATGACGATGGACTGATCATCAGAATTATTATTATCCATTATCACATAATCACTATTTTCATCTGACTGTATTAATAGTACAGTTATAGATGGGATTATTTTGTCTTAGTAATCACAAACCTATAACCCTTCATACCTAGAATATTTTTGTAATAATGAGAATTCGCACCAGCAATACTGGCAAAYCCTGTTTCRTCATAAGCCATGATAATCAAAAAGTCTACGGCATCAGCAAGAGCCTTGTAGTCATAGCACCTTCCAGAATATCTACAATCTGGTGTATATACTACATCAAATGTCACCTGCAGAGCAAGAAAGTAAATAAATAACCAATGTTCATATTTGGGCATATTGCATACTAGATGTTTGGTGCTCAGCACCTTTTCTGCTGATCTTGCTTAGTTCTTACACATTACAAACCTGCATATCCCATTCATGCCTGAAGTTTTAATATTGAATGCATCCCTAGCCTGCTTACGATATCTATCTACATCTTTTGACCTTTCAACTATACCTGAGAGCCAGGGATGTATTTCTTGAAGGCTTTTACTGTTAGTTCCACAAGTTCTGTCAACAAATTAACCTCTTTAGATCCCTGAGCAATTCCACCTTCAATGTCAATATTGATGCCATCAGCAAAGTTGTCCTTGGCATATTGTGTCATGTTTTCAACCCATGCATATCGCTCTTGATCGTTGTCTAGATTATTTGTTGGATAGCTTGTAGTCATAACAACCCTTACACCCTGATGAAGAGAAACTCTCATGTTAGAATTATTATTTACTATCCTTTGAAATTGATAGTTGAAAATATACTTTTGAATGCGCATAGCAGAAGAGTTCGTCGTCCCAGTGATGAAAAATAGCAATGGTGGTGATTTTATCCCAATCGTACTGCTTCCACACATCTCTGTGATGATCAAAAGTCCAAGCAAAAACCTCTTTTCCTGTAGTTGTTGCCATGGTTTTGCAGAGAGAAGAGTCTGCACATGGACAATCACGACCGAACGCCAAAGGACAGACGAAAATAAGGAGAAARGCAAAGCTCAGCGCAGCGTTCAACATTTTGACCTCCAGAGGTCGGGAAATTTGCACAGGCATTCCTCGTGCACGAGTCAGAGTGAAAAGACTAGGTACGAGGAAGTTACTTTTCTTCTTCGAGAATGTATCTCAAAATGACGAATAATATCTTTTGAGTAATTCTTGTGTTTCAATTTTCCTTCAAACACACACACACACAAAGAGAATTAGTTTGTTTTTAAGCTGTAATTTTAATCCACAAATGCGGGTCACACTAGTGYCCAAGCCCCACGCGACATATGCCAACTTTGAGATTCCTGTCGAGAGGACGAGGTCAACATGCTTATTGTAGCAACGATCTATGTTGTTTTTCTAGTTGTTAGCAGTCATTTGGCGTTCAGTCGAGAATGTCCATGTGCAGATCCATCTCTCTGCAAAACCATATCAAAAACTGCAGGAAAAGAGCTTTTTGTGTGGACATTAGATAATCACAAAGATGTGTGGAAGCAGTACGATTGGGATAAGATCACCACCATTGCTATTTTTCATCACTGGGACGACSAACTCTTCTGCTATGCGCATTCAAAAGTATATTTTCAACTATCAATTTCCAATAAGAGTAAATAATAATTTTAACATGAGAGTTTYTCTTCATCAGGGTGTAAGGGTTGTTATGACTGCCAGCTATCCAACAAATAATCTAGACAACGATCAAGAGCGATATGCATGGGTTGAAAACATGACACAATATGCCAAGGACAACTTTGCTGATGGCATCAATATTGACATTGAAGGTGGAATTGCTCAGGGATCTAAARAGGTTGATTTGTTGACAGAACTTGTGGAGCTAACAGCTTCGACCTTTGCAAAATATATTCCAGGTTCACAGGTAACTCAGTGAGGTTGAGGAGAAAAAAGCATATTACTCTGCTTGTGAAGAGAAGCTTAAATGGAAGGGAAAGGTCATAGATAATACAGAATCAACCCCCTCCTTCCTGGGGCTTGTTTTAGTGTTGTTGGCTTTCTCTGACCTCTTGTCACAGCAGAAAGTCCTCATTACAACTAGTGCTATGTATTTGCCAACTGACAATCCTTCATAATTGATCACCGGCTATGATTAGTCTCTATTATTATCCAATAGTGCATTTTTATGATAAGCAACTTCTGATCTGATATTTGCATATATTGCAGGTAACATTTGGTGTAGCTTGGACACCCGACTGTAGAATTACTAGCCGGTGCTACGACTACAAGGCTATCGCTGATGCTGTGGACTTCTTAATTATCATGGCTTATGATCAAACAGGATTTAATTCAAGTGTGGCTGGTGTGAACTCTGGTTATTACAAGAACATTTTAGGTATAAACTAAACAAGGAAATAATAATATTTATTATAACAATTAACAATGAATGATACACAACAAAAAGAGGGAAAACTTTCTGACCTTATGATGTTTGGTACTTCAAGAAAATTTTGAAATGTCAAAAAGTTATTACTGTGTATGTTTTTATCACATTAAACTGCTTCAATACAACCACCAACCCAGCTCAAAAACAATCCTAGTGAGCTTTTCATCTAAATAGCTCATCTTTCTTTAGGTATTCAACTTTATAAAAAACTTAACATCACTGCCGACAAACTGGTGTATGGTGTCCCCTGGTATGGTTATGACTACACCTGCATCAAGACTGATCCCAACAACTWTTGCTTCATTAACTGCAGCTATTCTCCATGCCGTCAGGTCAGTTWTTCAGTTGCCCAAGATCTCCTGACCAGCAGAAGCGATAAAGGTCGTCAGGATGATACAATATATTTTTCTAACACACCATTCTTTTCATATAATGATGAGAATGGAAACAAACATCAAGTTTGGTATGATGACCCTCCAAGTCTTAGTGATAAATATGAGTATGCTTTGAAGTACGGCAAAATGAAGGGTATTGCTGTCTGGAATGTTGATTTGCTGGATTATGGTGGCCTGACAAGAGGCGGTCATCAGACAAAAATGATGTGGGAAGCACTGCCTGATATGAAGCACATTAATGGCCTGTAATTAGGTCTTATACAATCMGAAAATTTATGCTGAAATCCATGATGAAGACAGCTACAATTAATTTATTGAATTAGTTGAATGAGAATACGAAAAGAATTTAATATATTTGTATAAAAGATAGTAAATAAATTAAAGGATTGATATTTACCAAGGGTMCACTTATTKTTTTTATTTTATCWTATTTATTTATYTATTTTTCTGTCTCCATCGCATCGGTCCCAGTGTGTTGGGCTACCTGTACATTGTTATGGCACAGGAAACCCAAAATAGAACTGGATGCAAGGAGAAATACAAATAGTCMAAACAACATAGAAATGCTATATCTAAAATAACATTTCCCTTTAAATGCCAGATTTGTGCCCAGTATCATATCATTTCACTGTACWGAAAGTATAAAAAATGAAAAAATACCTCTGATTCCCAGTCCCCGYCGAGAGATATCCAATGCCATTCACGAGTTTCCTGTCGGTTCGTGTTGTTTATTTCACSATTGAGATTTCAAGATGGCTTTCGATGCTCGGATGTRCATCTTTCTCCTGTTTTTTAGCGCTCATTTGGCGCTCAGTCGTAAATGTCCTTGCTTTTACCCCAATCAATGCAAACGTATAACGAAAGTTCGGGATACTGAAGTCTATTTTTGGACTGCCATTCCCAAGATGTGGAAACACTTTGACTGGACCAGAATTACTACTCTTGCACTYTTTACACCGTGGGATGACGAMCTMATGTGCTATGCGCATTTAAAGGTAAGTATATGTGATTTTTAAAGGATGTTTAATCTTCTACAGCGGTCAAGACAGTCCAAGAAAGTAGGAGACATGGCCGGAAAAAGTCAAGATAGCATTGGAGTATGCACTCCCCCCTCCCCCTACGTCCCCCCACACCTCCCCCCTCAACTTGAATTATCAGATTGAGATAGCTTGTGCTATAAAAAGCAGAAATGTTGTTTTGTTATCGGACAGGGCGTTCGTATTTTAATGGCAACAGACTATCCAACTGCAAAACTCAACAACACTGAAGAAAGAAAAGCATGGGTTCAAAATAATACACAGTTTGCRGTTGATAACTTTGCAGACGGGATAAATATTGATATTGAAGGCACAATAGAGAAGGGGTCTAAAGAGGTYGGTTTACTGACTGAACTTGTAAAAGAAACGGTGGATTCCTTCAAAAAGGCTATTCCTGGATCACAGGTAAAAATCAATTTCCAACATCAGTGATACTGTACAAACCCCAACAATACCATGAATAATGCTAATAATATATATCAGATGACATCTGATGGCTATCTGATGTATGATCTGTGGCATAACTATGGGTTGATGGAGGCAATGGTACATTAATTAATGGATGTTTGTATGAATGCATGGGAGAAATGGGATAATTCTTCTAACAGGAGGAGCTGAAAGACAAGATTCAAATGCTGCTGATTTTCTCTAGGTCACATTTGATGTARMYTCTTCACCAGAATGCACTCCCGGTGGAAGATGCTATGACTACAAGGCTCTTGCTGATATTCTAGACTTCTTAATTATCATGGCTTATGATGAAACAGGGTTTGCCAGAATTGCTGGRCCAAATTCTCCTTATGACAGAACTGCGAAATGTATGTAGAGTAAAATGCATCAATATATTATGATCTTCAATAATGATTATGTACTCTGATCAGGGACCGCGGAGCGGGATCTTCTTTGGGGGGGCTAGCGGCGAGGAGGTACTAGGGGGGTCGGAAATTTCTGAAATCTTAACTCTCGGAAATGCCATTTCCAGCGTTCTGAGGCGTTATCCAAGACATATTTACCACAGACACGGTCAGCAATATTATCAATAAAATCCCAAAGAATTCATAAGGAGGCTCTTCGCTTCTTTATTTAAGAAAATTCAAAATGTCGGAAATATTATTGGGGGGGGCTATAGCCCCCCAGCCCCCCCTGCTCCGTGGTCCCTGCTGATGTAATGCATTAAGCTTCTAGCTTGCAAAGTCAAAAGAGAAAATGCTTTTACTTTGAATACCTGAAATATCAGCTATCTATCTCTTACAGTGTATAATTTATAACTGTTTCATTTAAAATAGATATTAATGACCATTCACGTAAGTTGAACCTAAATTGTGTTYTCTGTGTGCCTTTAGATGTYGAAGAGTACAAAAAGCTGAATATAAGTACAAACAAGTTGGTGCTTGGTCTTCCATGGTACGGCTATGACTAYACTTGCGTCAAGTACAAYATTACCGATGGAACTTGCATTACAAACTGCAGCACTTCATCTCCATGCAAAMAGATCACATTCTCTACTGCTCAGGATCTTCTAGTAACTAGAACTGACTTTGGTCGAGAATGGAACCCTACTTCCCTGTCACCATACTTCTGGTATTATGATGAGTATGCTGGTGTTCATCAAGTGTGGTATGATGATGTTTACAGCCTGAGCATTAAATACCGATATGCATTGGAAGATCAGAAAATGAAGGGGATTGCCATTTGGGACGCAGATAAGCTGGATTACGGCGGAACTAAGAGAGGCAGTTTACAAACAAGCAATATGTGGAAGATTTTACCCAGTGTCCCTCCCACTCCTGTTGGCCAGGAAATTGTTTTTTGAAAAATTGACTCTATTTTTTATTATTTTTATACGCTCAATTGTGAAATAAATAAAAAATTAGCTGTAGAAATACGTTTTTAATAAAAAAGGATGACAGACACTGATTAACATAGTAATGAATGAAATTCCTATCGCATTTACATTTTTTACATTTCTTCAAAATAGCCAAAAAAAGTGAAATAAATGAATAAAAGAAAAAGAGAAAAAAATTACAAGGCCGTCTATTTCCTCGTTCCCAGTCCCCCTGTAGCAAGCAGCGGAAGGAATGCCTGAGTGATTTGATAGTCTGAGCTGTCACAAGGTCAACATGGCTGTCCGATCTTGGGTTTGCATCTTTCTCGTTGTTCTTAGCGCCAATTTAGCGTTCAGCCGTAAATGTCCATGTATAAATCCTAATCTTTGCAAGACCATAGATCGCCCGCCAGGAAAGGAGTTATTTTTCTGGACCGACCATCCCAAAGTATGGAAACAGTACGACTGGAACAGGATCACAACTATTGGCATTTTCCGTGACTGGGATGACGAACTATTCTGTTACGCTCATTCAAAGGTATCATTTGAAATTCTTATTATATTTTTGAAGAAACGTTGGGTAGTTTTGTAACAGTAAATTGAACTTGACTGTACTAGCAAACGCAAGATTGCTATGAAGACCCTATAAAAACAACTGAGTTACATGTGACATTGTAAAGTAGTTTTTTAATGTAATYCTTATTCTTAAACGATTATCACTCTTTAATTTGTCCAGACAAGACATAAAAGATCATGTCAAATAGCAGTGAAATTCTGACGGTTTTGTTTACATCACATCAAAGATTGACCTGCCATGAAACTGTAAACATGTGATTTTGGTCTTTGAAATTTTTTTAAGAAACAAAAAAGACGTTAAAAATAYGAAATTAAAACATATTAATCTAAGAAAAAACCTCTTTAATTTGACACAAACCAGTCATATCAGGTACTTAATAAATCACAAACAGATCACAAATTATTATAATTCAAATTGAAAGGTTTGTTTGTCTGCTTTCCGTGAATTAAGATGAGTCTCTTTGAAATAGGGAGTKCGTGTTGTTGTGACGTCAAACTTCCCCATTGAAAAACTGAATAGTAGTGAAGTACGAGAAGAATGGGTGAAAAACAAGACATCGTTTGCAATGGAGAACTTTGCKGACGGTATCAACATTGACATTGAAGGCCCAGTTGACAAGGAATCAAAGGAAGTTACATTGTTGACTAAACTAGTGAAATCAACTGTGGATTCYTTTAAAAAGAATATTCCTGGCTCACAGGTATTTGGTGATATTGAATACATAAATCATCAGAAACTGAGACATGAATAGTAAAATGTGGGATAAATGGAAAAAGATATTCTTGTATAATGGGATGGAATAACATTAACTATGAATGAATGAATTAAGTTATAAAAAGATGATATAAAAAGATGATAAATATCAGTGATTGCTCTGACTAAATTTAGTAAAAGAGAACCCAGAGTTTTCTATTATTGCATTTTTACAATAATGTTCAATAATAATATCCTATTTGATTAGGTAACATTTGATGTAGCCTGGTCACCAAACTGTGTAGATGGCAGGTGCTATGACTACAAGGCTATCGCTGATGCTGTGGATTTCTTGATTATCATGGCTTATGATCAACAAAGTCAAATCAAAGAAGGTCCATGTATTGGTAAAGCAAATTCACCATATGATCAGACAAGACAAGGTAAATAAGATAAGTTTTTAATCTGTTTCCAACAAAGTATGACACAGGCTAGGGTTAGAAAAACTGCAAATCAGACCATTTATCATTATTATGAGGACTGTTGCAGTTACGAAAGCCTTTACACTGAGTTGCAATGGTAGACATCTTTAAATAATAATTATCAATGTGTGACAAAAGTTTTCTCTTACTGCACCCTCATTTGATGTCTTGCTCCAGTACAAAGGCACTGCTRASAAGATGGCAGAGGGAATGGGGAGGGAGACTATTTGCACTGCATAAACGGTGATGWTATAAGATGGTGCTACGTCACTTTGTGATGACTTACAAGTCAATATAAGTACAAAATCATCATTTTTAAGTATGTTATTTTTCATTCTGGAATATTATCAAAGCAATAATATAAGACTTTTAATCTCAAGGTGTTGAAGAGTACAAAAAGCTGAACATCAGTACTGACAAGCTAGTGCTTGGTCTACCATGGTATGGCTATGACTACACCTGCATAAAGTTTGACACCACAAARAACACCTGCTACATCAAAGAGGTGCCATTTAGAGGGGTTAACTGCAGCGACGCAGCAGGACGTCAAATCACATATTCTACTATACAAGATCTTCTTCTCACAAGAACGGACTCGGGACGTCAGTGGGATATGGCGTCACTGTCTCCTTACTTTTGGTATAATGATCAATATGGTACAGTTCACCAAGTTTGGTATGATGACCCTTCAAGCCTGAGTATTAAATACCGATATGCAATGGAGTATGGCAAGATGAAGGGTATTGCTATCTGGAATGCCGATTTGCTGGATTACAGTGGCTTGACGAGAGGAACTCTTCAGGGTCATCTGATGTGGAGAACAGTGCGAAATACTCCTGGCGTGAAGTGCCTGCAGTATCCATGCAAATAGAGATCAAATCTGCTCTTGAATCCATGATGCACTGATAGTTAGGCATCAAAAATGTAGGGTGTCATTCCTACACCCTTTAGAAATGCTCAATAATTAGGGGTTGCCAATGGTCCTTGCAAGATTTTCCAAGACAGCAAGGATAGGTTTTTCAAATCCAAAATTGAGACAAGATTACATCGAGGCAGAATTAGATGAATGAGACCTTGAGAATTTAAATACATAAACCAAGAATTTGTGTGTCTTTTGGGAAAGTTTTTTAAAAGGAACCATTTGCCACCCCAAGTGATATTGTACAATCTACAACAATGAAGAAATTATAAAATATATGACAGATCAGATTAGTATTTATAGAATTATCTGTAAGTTGTATTTTCATAGAGAATTAATCATCACAACTACCATACAAATACTGGTAAAAATACAAAGTTTATTCTTGTTCTGTAAATTGATATTCATTGATACATTATTTTTGAAGCTTGCTCAATTATTATTAAATACTTTTGTGGAACTACAGTGTTTSTATTCATTTAGAGCTGTATGAACTCTTGACAGTATTCTTGGTTAGCACCTTATATCCTTGCCGCCATGTTGGATAAAGATATTAAA